TAAATGCACATTCTACAATTCAAAATTATGTGAAACACATTTGCACATGGCTAAAGACTGATTTAGCTGACTAATTTTAAAACTGAACTGTGTAACTTTGTAGAAAATTGTTTTATTCTACATGAAATATTTTGCAGAAAGGACTATGACATGCTAACTGCAAAGAAAAATAAAATGCACTTAAGACGTAAATATAGAGGAGACTGATCCTCATACTACAATATCCTAGTTCAGACTGTCTGCTTGAGATACTGAAAAGAAACCAAGAAGAACATGTGATCTCTTTAGGTATTTAGTTGTTGGAATTTTTGTGTCTTTGTTTTTGTTGTAGCAGATGACAAGCATTACCTGTCAGTGTTAAAAAGGTGATTCTGAGATATAAAGGAAAAAAAATGTGTTTTGAATGTGTTTATTTGCATTTGCTAGTACTGATGTCTGCACTGAGTTTTCTTGGTGGCAAACCAGTGACATTGAGACTATCATGGTCAAACCAGATCCTTAAGGGAGATCAATGGAGACATGAAGAGTAGGGCTTCCCCCCGACCCCATTCTTTTTTTATTTGCTTTTTTATTTTCCATTTTTGAAGAAACCATAAGCAAAGTATTCAAATAGTTCCTCAGAGAGCAGCAGTCATGGCCAGAAGCTACAGTAAACATGTGGATAGTGGGCATTTTGCCAAAGGTAAGAGAATAGCAGCCTTGGATAAAAAAAAAAAAAAAAATCTCAGATATTCTAACATGATAAGGAAATAACTTGCAGTCTAAGTTTCTGTATGGTTGAGGTGAATTTAAAAAACAAACCAGGACACTCATTTATTGTTTGTACAAGCTATAATTATAAAGATTTGTATTTTCTCCTCATGAATTTTTTTACTTAATTTCCTAATATTTATTAAGTCCCACTTTGTTCAAGAACTATTCATTAATAACTCTGTCCTGAATGTAAATGTAGTTAATTAAAAGAAAATGATTATTTTAAAATATTTTAATGTTATAAAAAGGAGGTAGTAATCACATTTTGCCCTCTATGTATTCTAACTTATTCGATCAATATAAATCTTTAATTCATAGAATCAGTAATGAGATGTATATTCACAGTGGTGTTATTATTCAAAAAAACGTTCAAAAAGAAATTTTCAGTGGTTGTAAAGTTTGTAGTTTTATTTGCTGAAAAAGTATCATAAGAAAAAAGATATGTAGGGGGGAAAAACAGACTCTAAAGTATCTTTATGTTATTTGTTGAAATAAAATTCAGAAACTGTTTAAATTAAAAAGAATCCTTAAAAGTGTCCCACTAACAGTTAACATTTTCAAAGCAAATCATTAAAACTTACATGAAAAATCATGGTGGTTTTCGTTTAAATATTAGCACCATACATCTTATCATAACTTGGGTCCTAATAACTGGAATTAAATGAAGGAATTAAATTTAAACTGGAACTGGTAATACAACTGACAGATAAAATGAAAATTTTTTAAAAATGGTGATAGGATTGAGAGGAGAAAGTTTAATAAGGGAACCTAGAGTTATTGAAAGTATTATCAACTTAATGAGAATATTGTAATATTGCATCAATATTTGCTAAAATATTTGCTGACTGACCAAAATGTTATATGACATAAAGAAAATATTTCTGGAATTTTAATGTGGCCCAAATCCAGGAAATAACTTACTTATTATTTTACTACTAATAATTTACTTATCATTTTGCATATCAAAATAAATAGATACCTTTGGATGATTTTAGGTTCATAGATGAATAATGTAGCAGTTTATTTTAGTGAAAAGTTCATTCCTCCAATAAACATTGTTAAAACTAGGCTTTAATACTTTGTATAACTTAGATAATTTCTTAAAGCTGCTTTAAATATAAAGTTAGTAAGCACAGTGGGGGAGAATTTGGCTAAAAACATAGAAATATTGCACCTGGGGTTGAGTTTGCATGCATGCCACCAAGGTAAACTATATTACTACAAAGTGGCATTTGAAGAGCAAGCTTAATTAATATATGATTTCATAATGATTGGTTTCTGAACATATAGAACATAGCTCAGTAAGGAGCTTGATTTGTCCTCAAATGTTCTTTCATATAGAATCATATGTTCTTAACATTGCATTTCTAAATTAGAATATAAATTTAATAAAAATATGCTTATTAACTTGTTTCTCACCCACCAAATCATCTCCAATATTTTTTCAGTTTTTTAGTAATCTTTTCCTCCAGACAATCTTAGGTCAACATAATTTAAATTAACTGAAATGAAAACTGTATCTAAAGTTAAGAAATTATATAAGCTATTCTCTGCTTTACAAGCAACTTTTTTTTCCTTTGAGGTCCTATAGTTTGATAAATATTGTTGCTAATTTTGTGCTCTCATAAAATTTGTCTTCATTAGAACAGGCATTAAACATTGTGGGTTATACATTTAACAAAGAAACACCAAGCAATGGTCTAAAGATGGCCATCATTTTGCTAGAGTCTTGTTTTAACCCATCAGCACAGAACATGTGTGGTCATAAAATACCACATTAATACATTCTTTCCCTGTCAGAGTAAGCTACAGTGAGCTTGCCAAATTCCAACTCAGGTAGCTCCTTTTTTCCAGCCCACATTCCTACTGCTTTTTCAATTGGGTGAATTATTTTTACTTCCCCTCTTTTTAAAGAGCTTCTGGCTCACATAGGTTATCAGGTTTCTATTCCAGTGGCTGCTGCATTTCCACAGTGAATGAATGATCTCTCCAAGGTACTTTGGGATGAAAGCGAGTGGATAAATGTGAAGAATTATATTTTTATTTCTTCTCTTTGGAGGGATTATTCTATAACTTTCGTGTTTAGCTTGGAGGGCTCTTTTGATTTGATTTCTCTCCTGAATAAATGAAACAGCCACCCAGATGGCAAGCACTTCACATTTCAGCAACGTGTAATTTGATTTGGAAGTTCAATGAAACTCACTTGGAAATGTCCCTCCAGTAATATTTCCCTCTTAAAAATTTCAGTTTTAAATTCCTGGCTTCATGTATAAACAAGCTCCAGAGAGACAAAATGTTGAGTGGCAAGGTGGCTATAGTCATTATTTTTCTCCATTTAAATAAAATGTTCAAAATGATTGGTCTTCTCTTCGATATTCTTAAGATTTCACTGTAGAAGCTGTATATGCTGTGTAATTTTTAACTTCAAATATCCTTTTATTATTATGAAAAAATATTTCAAATTTATTTTTTGTATTTTTTTAGGTTCCTCAGTGAACATGAAAGCCGATTCTGTGCAAGAAACAATATGGTAAAGGATGGGAAAGACTTTATAGACAGCCAAATCTTGTGTGTATGAAGATATAAAAATCACTAAAAACTTTAGAAAAAAGATTGTATGAGGCTACCAAATGGATACATTTTAATTCATATCCTGCCAATTTCTTTGGAACTTCTAGTATTTATGGATCTGGCATTCAGCAAAAGTGTCATTCTTAAGATTTTGATTCCTACTAAGCCTACGCTGACTTAGAGAACTCTGTTTCCATAGTTAAAGTCTCTTATCTTCATACTCTATTCTCTCTCTCTCTCTCTCTCCCCACAAACACACACACACACACACACACACACACACACATATTCACATGCATGTGAATACGCATAAGCTGCTTCATAGGAGAACTCAAAATATTTTAAGATATAATAATTCTTTAAAAACACAGCATCACTTTCTTCAAGTCTCTGAAAAAAAATTAATCACTATGTGAAATTCTCTCACAATCCTTTCAAATTATGAAGACTAAGTCAAGCTTTTCCCATCAACAGAGCTAAAATGAGAGGTGTGTGTGTGTGTTTTTTAATCAATCAATGTGTTTTGAAAACTTTGATTTTTTTTTTTTTTTGTACCTGAGTACCCAGATTGGGATGAAGGGGTGTAAGGAGTGGAATGCAAAGCCCATCACAATCAACTCTCTGGAATATGTTCAGCATGCAAAAAAGCATATTAGCATCTGTATCAACTCTAAATCAAGTTTAGCATTTTTTAAATTAATCTTCAGTGACCAGTTTTAAGTGTTATCAGTTTATTTAGAACTGAAGTCTCTATATTATTTTACACTTTCTCATTTTCAGCAAAGATGAGCTAGTATTAGTAAAAACAAAAAAATCCTGTAAATATTGCAAATGTAACAACAGAACCTTTCACATCTGTACTATATTATATCAGAATCTCTCAATACTGAGAAAACTGAATCATTTCTATTAGCACCTATGCCAGGTGTCAGAATTTGCTTTCTCCAGTTTTGTACGTGGAAACTCCCACCTGTCTCTACTATCACAGTGCTAGAGGATTTCATAAATAGTGCTGTTTTTAATCTCAAATAATATGAGAGAAAGGAAAAGTACAGTGCTTTATTGTGTTTAAGAAGTTTGGGGTACCTCATCTAATTAAATTGAATCAAATTTAAATATAAAACACACATTATCATCTACTTCATCATCCCAGCATGCATATTTAATGATAGTTTGAATTGGTCAGTCTCTGTAATTTATATTCTAAATTAACAAGAATTTAGATAAATAACATTGTAGTTCTTAATCAAGATGACTTCCAGATGAATTCGAAGGATACAGAAAAAGGAATCCAAAGAGGAGAATATTAAAATTCCCTAAAGTCGCAAGAGTATTGGAACAGTTTGGTTTCTCTGGCTAAATGTTTATAAAATAGTCACATAATTGCATTTTGTTAATAGTAAAATGATACCATACAAATGCCTTATATCAGGTACGCAATGACAATTTTTTTCTTCAAGATGGAACACACACTTCATAGCATCTGCACTTATTTTAGAATCAAATTATTCAAGTTAACATGGCTTGAAATTGAATATCATTGCTTCCAGCACCAGTAAATAGATATGACAAGGCAAAGTATATAAATAAATACCAAATAAATGTACTGAAGTTGAAATATAAGTTTTGAAATCATTCTGAGTACACCACTTGATGTCTACAACGAATATAATTACCAATTAAAGTGGAGATAAAGGAAGAGCTGGGATCAAAAGGACATCTGCCCCTTCCTCGTTCAGATCTGTGTGGTTCCAGGTGAAACAGAGGATCCTGAAGAGAAAACCAGAAAGCCATTGTGAATGTGACAGCTTCAACAAGAATTTAATTGCTCAGCTAAAACATTGAACTTTGAATATTTACAAAACAAATAGGAGATCAGTAATGTCAAGTTATTTGGTAAAAATTACATTTTATATATAACCACATGGATATTGCAGACCCATACAAATTCTCTCATGCCTCTCAAAAACTAGAAGAAAGCAAAAATGGCAGTAAACAATTTGAGAGATGTTTGTGTTCACTTTCCACAGATGACAGTCTGCAAAGACAAAAAAAAGTTTGTCCAAATGATAATTGCAGGTTTCCCACCTAACACTTAAGCTAAAGGACACTTATGCAAATTTAAAGATCCAAGATCCGTAGCAATATGAAGGAGGACGTGACCAAGAGTTTCTTTACTGTTTAGTTAGTGCCAATTTATAAAATATTTGAAAAAAAAAGAGTAGATAGGATAAACATTTTATATGTGTTAAAATACAATAAAATGGCCGGGTCATAGAGAACTCATGAAGAGAGGAACTGAGCTGCTTTCTTAAATCAAGATTTTCTATAGCTTAAAAATTCTGTGATATTCAACTTTTAATCTCTAATCACTGATGAGATTGGTTTTACCTAAGGATATAATCAGACAGATTAAACACTAAAATTGAGGTAGAATATTAAAGAAAAGGAAAGGGATCATGGGAAGCAGAATGGGGGGTGCGGTAGAGGGGATGTATAACTATGGAGTGGATATAATCAAGATATGTTATTTGGATGTCCAAATAAGACATGGTGAAACACATTATTCTGCATATTCAAAATGCACTAATTGAAAAGTTTTCAAAAAAACAAAACAAAAACAAGTACATTGTTTCATTGCTTACTATTTGACAATGAAGATATATAAACGCTGAACACTGAATACAGATGTACTCTTCAAGATCTCTACCTCAGGCCAAAACTCAGATGGACTTCACTGCACCTCCCACCTCTTCACAGATTTCAAATGCCTGGTGCACATTTTTTTGATTAATGGCTTAGCTTAGATCAACAATGTTCATTTTAAAATAATAAACAAGTTAAACATTCTGTCTGCTTTCTGTCTTATTAAAACTCCATATTTTTGAATACCTTAAAGACATATCTATCATTTTAATACTAAAATAATGTGTTCTAGAGCTTCTTATTTTTTAGCCCCCAAATGCTTTTTTAAAAAAGAACTGTTAGAACATTCTTGCTTTAAATGTGTACCGTTCTTAACCAGTATAGGTCTCTGACAAGAGATGAATAGAAAAAGAAAATATGATATATATACACAATGAAGTTCTACTCAGCCATGAAGAAAGAATTTATGTCATTCACTGGTAAATGGATAGAACTGGAGGACATCATGCTAGGTGAAATAAACCAGACCCAGAAAGTCAAGGGTCAAATGTTTTCTTTCATATTGGAAGCCGGTGAGAAATAAGAAATATAAAAAGGGAATCTATAAAATCTATAAAAATAGAAGGGAGAACAGTAGAATAGAAGAAGGAAATTGAGAGTATATAAGGAGATGTGGGAAAGGGGAGGAACTGCAGAAGGAAATTGTCTAAAATATGTGCATGTATAAATATATTACAATGAATTCCACTTACATGTAAAATTATAATGCACCAATTAACATAGCAATAAGAAAATAGAAGGAAGACCAGTAGAACAGAGGAAGGTGGTCAGGGGCTGTGGTGAAGGAAGAGGAAATACAACACATTGTGTTATACACATTTATGAATATGTCCAAATGAGCCCCAGTATTATGTATAATTGTAACAAACTAAGACATAAACTTTAAAAAATAAAAGTTACTGAAACTGGATCATTCTTCTCATATAGAATAAATTTCTAAATGCTTAGAGGGTGTATTCATTTCATTCATACATGATAGTAATACTTTAGGGAGTTATATAATGCAAAAATGGAAAACAATGTCAAATTTTCAGTTGGGATGCTTCTTAAATTTGAAGACTACTCAAATGTGTTTTAAGTACTATAAAACAGGAAAAATAATATACCAATTTTTTAATAATAGAACATGTTGTTTCTTTCTACAAGAGTGTAATATAAGTGATGTCAATATTCTTTTTTGGATCATGTTAGGCCTTTAAAAGTAGTAACATTAAAAATATGTTTTTATTTCTATACTATATCTCTGCCTTTTTATTTTGGGGTTACTAAATTAAACAGTTTTAACACTAATATGTTAACTAGTTTTTTATCTTTGTTCTTTCTAGATATATATGACAGTAGAATGTATTTTGACATATTATACATATATAGAATGTATAACTTGTTACATTTAGGATCTCATATTGTGCTTGTATATGATGTAGACTTACATTGGTCATGTATTCATATATAAGGATAGGAAAGATATGTCTGATTCATTCTACTGTCTTTTCTATTCCCATCACAACTCCCTTCCCTACATTGCCTTTTGTCTATTCCAAAGAACTTCTAATCTTCCCTTTCTTTGTTGTGGGTTAGCATCCACATATCAGAGAGAGCATTCTGTCTTTGTTTTTTTTTGGGGGGGTGGGGGGTTGGGGATAGGCTTATTTCACTTAGCATGATATTCTCCAGTTCTATCCATTTAACAGCAAATGAGATACATAATTTCATTCTTTATGGTTCAGTGATATTCTTCTGCATAAACACACACACACACACACACACACACATTTTCTTTATCCATTATTCTGTTGAAGGACACCTGTTGGTTCTATTGCTTTGCTGTTGTGAATTAAGCTGCTATGGACATTGAAGTGGCTGTGTCACAGTAGTATGCTGATTTTAAGTCCTTTGGATATAAATGGAAGGATGGGATAACTGGTTCAAATGGTGGGTTCATTCCAAGTTTTCTAAGGAATCTCCATTCTGCTTTCCAGAGTGGTTTCACCAATTTGCAGGCCCACCAGCCATGTATGATTGTACTGTTTTTCCCCACATTCTCACCAACATTTATTGTTATTTGTATTTTGATAATTGCCATTCTGACTGGAGTGATATAGAATCTCAGTGTAGTTTTGATTTGCATTTCTCTAATTGCTAGAGATGTTAAACCTTGTTTTTTTCCATATATTTTTTTGACCATTCACATTTCTTTTTCTGCTAAGTGACTAGCTTATTTATTGATTGGGCTTGGGGTTTTTGTTGTTGTTATTGTTAAGTTTTTTGAGTTCTTTGAAGAAACAATCAAGAAAGTGAATGGAGAGCCTACAGAATGAGAGAAAATATTTACTACCAGCACATGCTGACTAGTTTTTATAGCAAGATATTACGATATTTTACTAAAGTAACACTTGATAGTAAAAGATAGTAATGGGTTGAGGTTTTTCAATTGAATGATATGAGATCTGAAGTATAGCTATGATCATAGGCAATTTTTCCAAAGTTATTTTGAGCTCAGCCTTATTTGTTGATACAATTAACAGCTTCATCACAGCTATCTGGTTGCCTATAACAAATGTGGGAGTGGCCTCAAAACAGATTTTATTTAAGCACACTATGTGCAATCACAAGCTTAAAGCATATTTAATTGACAGTCTAGAGAAGTTACAAGAAGTCAATATAGGAGTGAATAGGAATTAAAATTATCTTTCACTTATTAAATTAATGCTTTATGACATTGTAAGAAAATATCTGTCTGTGGTTAAGGCTGAAGAAACATAGAAAGTGTGTTTATGAATATATTGAAAAAACCCATTCTGAACCCATAAGTCTTTGTTGATAATAAATATAACATTTTCATTGACTAAATCATGACATGAACAAGTTCATAAAAAGGCTCTCTATTGAAGATAATAGGAATACCAAAGCCACATTTTTGGCCCAATTGCATTGCTTCTCTCAAACTTTCCTACCATTTCCTCTGTTATCCTTATCACATGACAAACAAATCCCTAAGACCAGAGTCAATTTGCAACATATTTCCAAAATATTTTCCATAATTGAATTATAGCTACCATCATAAGCAGAATAATGAATGAAATCTTGAAGAATCTTGTCATAATTCCCCAAAACAGTGCACAAACATGATGCAACTTGCTTTTGACTTTCACAGGAGGCTCAGAAATAAGAGTATGCCTTGAGTCTCAGAGGAGACTTTGGACTTGGACTTTTGAACATTGCTAGAATTGTTAAGACTATGGAGGAACTTTGGATGGGCCGAAGGAGAGGGGGTAATGGGAGGGGGCATGGGGATAGGAAAGAGGGTGGAATAAAACAGACATCATCACCCTAGGTACATGTATGATTGTAGGAATGGTGTAACCCTACTATGGGTACAACCAGAGAAGTGAAAAATTGTGCTCCATTTGTGTACAATGAATCGAAAAGCATTCTGCTATCACGTATAACCAATTAGAACAAATAAATTAAAAAAGACTATGGGGACTCTTGGAGATGGACTGAGTGAACTTTGCATTGTGAGATGGGCATGAGCTTTTGGGGGCCAGGGGTGAAATATTATGGTTTGGACCTTTAATTTCACCAAAAATGCTTGTGTTTTCAAAGCATGGTCCCCAATACAGCATGGTTCAGAGGTGGGGCATTTAGGCATTCTAGATCATGGTGTTGTAACCTCATCAGTGGATTAATCCATTTGATGGATTAATAATTTGAATGGACTACTTAGTGGTAACTGTAGGAAAACGGGGTGTGGCTGGAAGAAGTAGGTCATGGGGGTATACCCCTGAATTATATATTTCCCTGGCTCCTCTCTCATTCTCTCTGTTTCTCAGCTGCCATGAACTAAGCAGCTTTTCTCTGCCCTATCCTTCTGCCATGATGTTCTGCCTCATCTCAGGTCCAGGGCCATGGAGTCAGCCAACCATGAACTGAGACTTCTGAAGCTGTGAACACAAAACACACTTGTCCTCCTCTAAGTTGCTCTTGTCAGTTATTTTGGTCACACAGTGACAAAAAGCTGACTAACATAATCTTCACAATTGCTACTGCACTGAGCTCTTGCA